GAATTTTGGGAGTTGAAGTCCACAAATCTTAAAGCTGTCAAGTGACAAGACCCTTGCACCTCTAACCCTTTAGAAAAAAAAACCAGAGGTGTTCAAACTTGACAGCTTTAAGATTTGTGGACTTCAACTCCCAGAATTCCTCCTCTCGTTCTTCATCTTGATGGTGTGGACGGGCATGGGTAGGGAGCTGGAACTGGTTCTAAACGGCACTGTAGATTTGTGGAACCTCTTCTATAGAAGAGGTTAGAACTGGCAGGAACTCACCTCTGCCACACACCCACATGATAGTCTGTTTCTGTTGCTCCCCTTTGGGAGGAGGTTTCGAAGTATTTCTAGCAGGACTACCAATTCTGTAACAACTTTGTTCCTTATGCCCTCATGTACATGTATACGGTACATCCGAACTGGACTGTGTTGTTTCTCCGTGACATATATGTGAGTATATGAATAATTTTGTATTTATTTATTTTGTCATGTTTATGTAGTGTATATTAGAGACACCTTGAGAACTTTATGCAAGGAAATTTCATTTTAATGTACGCCAATTAGTGTACATTCAAGGTGAGAATAAAGTTATTCTAAAGTCTAAGTTGCCAAGCATCCAAATTTTGTTCCTGTGGGGATGCTACAATGGTCCTAAGAGTGAAAAATGGTCATGCCACTTTTTCCCATTCTGTTGCAACTTTGAGTCGAGGACCACCTGATTTTTCTTTTTGCCCTTACTGCTGCCAACCATCCTCCTTGAAGAACCCTGAACGCCAGGCCTTTCTGATTGCCATTAGATCTGCCATTCAAGAGCTGAGGAGAAGCAGCAAATAACAGCTGGGACAAAGGGAATTTGTCTGCCTCCTAGCAGTTGCAAGTGTGCCGCGGGAGGACGCTTCAACAGGTGGGGCATTACCAGGGCTGAGGAAAGGAAAGTCCAGCTGGTACATTGTCACTGGGCACATGGAGCTCAAAGGGGGCACATGAAGGGCCATTTTTTTTACATTTTTTACAAATCCAATTTTTTAAAAAGAAAAAATTGGATATGTACTACATACTGGTGGCGAACCTATGGTATGCGTGCCACAGGTGGCACACAGAGCCATTTGTCAGGGCACGTGAGGTGTTGCCATGTCAGCTAGCCTCCGGAGTGTGAAAAACCGCCCCTACAGGCAAACCGGAAATTCAGGAATGTATTTCCAGTTTGCTCGTAGGGCCGGTTTTTCATGCTCCGGAAGCCAAAAAATGGCCTCAAAAGGCCAAAATCAGTTGTCCAGCGTGCGCATGCCCTACGAGCAACCCAGAAGTCCGTTACCGAACTTCCAGTTTGCCTGTAGTGCCATTTTTTTTGCGCTCCGGAGGCTTTAGGGAAGGCTCCTGAAGCCTCTGGAGGGCCTCCAGGGGGCGGGGGAGGCTATTTTCACCCCCCCCCCAGGCTCTTATAAAGCCTCTGGAGCCTGCGGAGGGCAAAAAAAGCATGCCAAAAATGGGGGGGTTGCTGGTTGTGCATGCATCACGCTAGGGTCGTGCGAAAGCATTATGGGTATGGCACATCTGCGCACGACCCCCCCCCCCTGTGACTCCCCCGCTTTTGACACATGAGCCAAAAAAGGTTCGCCATCACTGCTCTATACTTTGTGTGTAAAGCAAAACCAGCTTGCTTGACATAACCTTTATTCATCTGAAACTCAGTGAAGTTATTTATGTAATTTATTGAATTTTAATTTCATTATTTATTCAAGTTTTCCAGTTTAGTTTCATTTCCTTGATGAATAATATTCTATATTTCATTTCAGTTTATGAATGGTTATGAAATGTCAAAAACCTGGAGCTCAAAAACGTTAAAATTATGACATTATTGATTTATGTGTCAAATAAATCACATAAGGGGGGAGGGGGCATACTAGTCTTGTTCCAGCACTTCATAATCCTCTTGGCGGCCCTGGGCATTACTGGATTGTTCTCTTCATTAGCACGAGGGCAAGCCAGGGGCGTCCCTGCTCCATGTCATTACGGGAACAGTCGCTATTCAACGACGGGAGCGCGGATGCCTCCTAGGTTAAGCGTCTCCACTCCCCCTGGGGCGGCTTCTTTTTTCGCCAGTCGCTCACCCGCCCCTTCCCGAGCACGCACAGCCTAGCCGCCACGCCTCCTGCTCGGCTGACTCACCCGGGCTCGGGCAGAGGAGGAGGAGGAGGAGTCCCACCAGCGCAGCCAAAGGCAGACCGGCCCGTTGGGACCAAGCGAGGCGCAGCAGCGGCATCCCGGCGGGTCCTCGGAGGAGTTTTTGTCCCACGCTGCGCGATCCTTCGGGCACCTGCGGGGAAAAGAGCGCACGCGAGGCGGCCGAGTGAGTGGGAAGGAAGCGGCGGGAGAATCCGGAGACTCCGGCTCCTTTCGCAGCCGACCCCGCGGGAGCCTCTCGTTAGCCCGTTGCTGGCTGGAAGGACGGAAAGGGGGTTCCGGATCTGGAACGGAGTGGTAAATCGCCTTGGAACGGGAGCAACGTGGCTTGCCAGGTTTCCAAAGGCAAACCTATTCGGCGCCGGAAAGGTCTCCTGGCTACAATTCCAACCATTCCGGTAGCAGATCCGAGATGGCGGTTCCAGCCTCAATTATTGTACATCGGTAAAACATCCGCAGGGTGGGGACTGTGGAGCTACACAGCAGTTGCTAAATGTGCTCCAAAGCAGTTGAAAACTGTTTCCTTCTCTCGAGGTTTCCCCATCTTTCCGTCTCAAACCGCATTCACAAAATGCAAGAGTGCACACACATACAGGAACTTAACAATATTCAGTGACAGTAGATTGTATTAGCATTCCCTGATCCGGTTCCCTCAGCATGGTAACCCCATCATCCCCTGCTCGGGGGGGGGGGGGAAGGGGGGACATCCACGGGGCAATTAAAAGTTATCAAAACGGCAGACAGGCCAAAGATTGAAGCTCCACACCCCCACACCCTTTTACATCTGTGAGATGTTATGTGTGTGAAGCTTCAATTATCTAATTTATCCCATCCAAACCAGACATTATCTACTATTGCAACTCCCCCCCCCCCAATGCATAACTATTGGTTAGAGATTTTTCAGGATCAAAGCCCAAGGCAGTAGATGGATATCAGACAAACACTCATAGGAAATACTACTTACTTTTAATGGATTAACAGAGTTGGAAGAGACTTTGTAGGATATCTAGTCCAATTCTCCCTCCCACCCAAGCAGAAGACCCTACA